GGGGGGGGGGCAAGTACCATCACCTAGCTTAGCCTTCTTCGGCTAACTACAAGCTAACGTTACCTAACATAAGGCAACACGATCGTTTATCCACCTTGATAACAACTTCGACTTACATCGTCTGGTTCTCCGTTCGTGATCACTTTCTCGTCAAGGACCATATTTGCTGCTGTCCCGCGTCCTGACCCGACCACAAACCAAATCCACTGATTTATTTGGAGGACACTGCAGGACAAGTCAAACCTATGAGGAAAGCTAGCGAGTCGGTAGTTTCCGTCTTTCAAAATAAACGGCCAAGTCCGGTCTCTCAATAGGGTTCCTCTCTGGTGTTATCAATACTTATTAAAACTTTTATATGTAGTGCAAATTATAAACAACGAGACACTAAAACAAATCCAACACTGAGTTATTTCCTTGATACAATTAATATATTTTAATTTGTTAAATCAAAAGCGGAACTCAACTATGTTACGTCACATACTCTTTACTACCATCGTGTGGCTCAAAAAGGTACGACAGAAATACTCAAAAGATTCCAGCTGTATGAATGCAATTTGGCCGCTTGTGGGTAATTTAAAAATAAACAGCATAACGGGTTGACTCATGGCGTAATCCGCAAACTATTCGAGAGGATTCGCGGCTGTTTACATTACGCATGCTCACATGGCTTTCATTTGACGAATGCTTGCCAGGTGTCCTGATGTTAGGAGATTGCGCTGAACAATTTGAAGTATTTCATTCAGTGTAGGTTTGATCAAAAAGTAGGAAAACAACTCTACACTGAAATTTTAAAACTCTCTAAAATAAATTCTATGCACTTCCGATTCATCCATCCATTGACCCGTCCAAGTCAGGTTGGAAAGTGAAGCTATTAAGCAATAAAAAAGAACCTTTAATCCACCATAAAAAAAATTATAACAGAGTCCATTGTGCAGTTTACTTTTAAGGAAAACAACACCATTTGAAATTGAAAAAAAAAAGTCGTCACTTTGGCTTGTACAGTAATCTTAACCCATATCTTGCCAAATTTCAACATTTGGGCGAATTGTCGTGATCGCAGCAGTTGCTTGTTTCAGCACTGACTGAAATGTACTTTCTGGAATGTTTATTCCAAACAGTTCATCATCTGCCTTTCCTCTCCGGGCATTGGATTTTGTAGCCCACCCTGTAGGCTTGCAGGTACACACGTGCCTGGTTCATCCTGTTGGAAAAACAAAACAAAACAAAACCAAACGCAACGTCACATTATAATTAGTCATGCTAGGATTTAACTATTGATATATTGAAATGATGGTGCTCCATATGCTAATGTACAACATATATACAAACCTGTATTTGGTGCAAAGCTGAATCCCCAAAGGTCCGCAACGGTCAACGTAACTTTCCTTAAAAGCTTTTCTCACCGCCCGAGCCATGCTGACCACGGTGGTGACCACAGGGCATGTCCTACACATCAATGAGAACATCGCACATGACTTTACGAGAACAAAATAGTTTCACATCACACATTAGAATGCATAAGACATTGCATAACACCTTGAATACTTACAGTCTCTCACAGCGCAGGCCCGTAGTGCCCTCGGGACAGGTGCAGGTATTGTGAGGACTACAGGTGGCGCCGTGCCGGCAGGGAGGAACGCACGGGGTGGTCACCGCTGCACATGAACACGCCAAAATAAGTCAAGATGTGCAATGCGCCGTGATGGCACAAACACACACTGACCCGTTTCACAGAGACTTCCGGTGAATCCTTTGGCGCAGCGACACCTGTTGAGGCCTTCGCACACGCCGCCGTTTTTACAGGGCTTCTGACACTGAACGGGCTCTGAATGAGAGCAATTAAAGTGGAGATATATCAATGTTAGTGTAAATGAGAACGCCAGAATGGCTCTGTCTGACAATTATTTTACACAAAGTGACATGATGTCTGATTCCAGGACATGCACAGTCATGGTAATATCCCAATTTAGGGATTTTGGTACAAAATCTGAAAAAAAAAACTTTATAAGGACGGGCAAAACAAGTACAGTACATGTACAAAACTTGGCAGAATCTTACCTATCTGGCAACGAGCTCCTTGCCAACCGCCAACACACGTGCACTTATTGACGTCAACACATCGGCCACCATTTTGGCAGGCGGGTGTGCACAAGGCTATAAAAAAACACACCAACACTGCGTTGTTGCTAAAGAAGCAGTGAGCCGCCGGGTGTAACTGACCATGCAAGGTTGTACTACTGGGTGACTCACGCAAAAGGCACTGGGAACCTGTGTAGTCTGAGGGACATTGGCAGGTATCGGGACCCACACAGCGACCGCCGTTAGCGCACGGCAGCTCACACACAGCTGAGAGGCAGGGTGAGATACATAGGAAACA